AGATGTGGCAGATTAGGAAAGAAATTATACCAGGATATATATATATAATTAAGTGGCTAAAGGAAGAAAGGATGAAGAGGAGAGAGAAGGTATATAATTTAAAATAGATTTCCATTAAAATTGAAGAAGTAGGGCCTCCCTGGTGGTGCAGGGGTTAATGCCTCAGCCCTATCAAGCTATAGCCAGCCACTGTGGCATGGTTTGATCCCTGGCCAGGGAGTTAACCCACATGGTGCAGCAGACCTCTCCTGTCTCACCTGCTGCTTCCTTCAGCAGCATTTCAGTAGATCTGCCTGTTCTGCTCCCCACTCTGTCTCTGGTGAATCCTCTCACCGTCCCCCTCCCCACACCTCTGGCCTACACCCCAGTTCTTATATGCATAAATAAATAAAATAAATCTTTAAAAAAATAAATAATTGAAGTAGTAGATTCTGTGTCATTTGGGACAAGGGAAGCATAGTCAATATTGGTATTTTCAACAAGTATCCCATCTCTCTAACATATTACAAAAGTAAAAGACACTTTTCAGGCCATTAACAATAATGCAGAAGATACTTCCATGCAGTACTATGTGAAAATGTTTGAAAAACTAATAACTTCAAGAGAATGTATTGCACAGTGAGGTACTGGGAATTCTGGCAGTTGAATAATTTTATTCTGCCTCACTAGTCACCTTGAAGTATCAAGAATCACAAAGGCCTTCTAAGTTTTTTGGAGTTTGTGTGGTGACTATAACTTCATCAGAAGGAGTGGAATATTCTAGCACAAGGAAGAACATCCATCATTAGGACATGAAACAATCAACCACACACAATAAGCAAATTCATATATAACTTGTTTCCTGTCATCCCAAACCATGTTTGTCGACTTAAAAATCTCATGCCGTCTTAATGGTCAGTTATATCCTGATCCTTGCCATTGTTTCTGAATACTGGTCTTTGTTTGATGGCAGCTGTGACATTATGAAAAGAAGGAATTAAATACTTAAATAGTCAAAACAGCTAACCAGGGCCTAAAAATTCTCTGAACTTGGAGGAAGAACTATTCTTGAAGGTGAAGTTGTGATTTAAATCATGTATCTCTTAAGTATGGAATTCTAAGTGAGCATTTGTGAAGCAAAGGAAACCTTTACTAATGAACCTTCAGGGACCAGTTAGCACAGTTTGTTAAATTGGAATGCTAATTAGGTGTAGGCAATAGTCTAAATCAACCTAAATGCTTGTTAGTTTGACCAATTATAGGTGCCCAATAAGTGTTTGTTTAAGTTCAATAATTCTATGTCCAGAGGGAATATTCCTGACATGAGTGGCTGAATGAAAAAATATAGGCTATTAGTCATGAATAAATTGCACATAAAAGAGGGCATTTTCACACAACTCCTAGAAGGCCGAGGTCACAGCAGTGACGGTTTGTGATTGTCCCTGTCTTTTGCTAGATCCTATGCAGAGATATATCCAACACATCTCTATTATTTTGAAGTTTTTCCATGGGCTGAATAATAGAATGCAAAATACAAGCCTTAGAGAGAAACACTTGGATTGTAAGCCAAGGCTCACCAAACTATTTAAAGACAAAGTGAGTCTGGTACCCATCGTGTTGACTTGAGTCTTTCTTCCATTATAGTCCATTATATCTTTCTGTAATCTATACCGCTACCTTTCCTATCCCCAAAGCCCACTGCTTTCCCACTCAGTATATTCTCAAATAATTGATTTTTAGGTTCAGACTAAAAGCTGTGATTCAATCAGCACCATGTTCTGCCTCTACAAAAACCGTCACAGAATCGTTCACCTCTCCCAGGCACTAAAAGATGCCAAGGTAGCATTCTTTCCATGACAATGGAAACAAAAGTCAGCTCTAGTCCTGCAATTGCACAGGAGCCTGAGGCACTGCTGGAGGTAGTGGACCAGTCAGGGAAACTGCAGTTGGCCTTTTGAGCAACTGAAAGCAGAGGCACGAATTTTTGTGTTAGGAGAACTACAGAAAGAACCACATGGAGCTTAGGGCAAATTCCCAATGTGCCTCTTCAGCAGTTAGTATTAGATTTTGCTGCAATGAACAGAAAATCCCCAAATTAGATTTTTTGAGCTGTTGCCATATCTACATGCCAGCTAGCTAGGGAGAAGTTGGAGGGCCTCCGCCCTCCTGCCCAAATTTGGTGAAGTGTAAACGATATACAAAAAACTGTACATAATTAATAGATACAATTTGTTGAGTTTGGACAGATGTATATAATAGGTTATCATCAGGACAATCAGGGTGATAAACATGTCCATCACCCTCAGAAGTTTCCTTGTGTCCCTTTGCTTTTGAGTGTGTGTTATGCACACTTGAGATCAGCTCTTTTAACAAAATTTTAATATACAATATTTATAACTATAGGCTTTATGTTGTCCAACAGATCTGAAACTTACTCATTTTGTGAAATGTAATTTTACTCATTGAAAAACAGATCCTTTACAATCCTAGCACCTAGGGGCCAACATATAATATCTACTTCCATATATTTTGCTCTTTTGCCTTGTATAGAGAAATCATTTTGTAATAAGGCGGTCTCCAGGAAAAGGGGAGGTTCTAGGGTCCCTGCCCCTACTAAGGAAGGGTGGAGCTGAGGAGGAAAGAGGAGAAGCTGGAGAGGAGACTGGAGAAGGAAGGAAAAGGATGGAGAGCCAGGAGACCTGGAGGAGGCATATGAGCGAAGAGACACGTGAAGAAGCTGCGCTTGCCACTTGGTCTTGGATGGGTTGAAGCAGATGTGGGTGAGAGACCCATGGGGAAGTTAAAAATAGTAGCTATTACAGCTTTTATCTTGATTTTGATTTTGCTCTTTTCATTCCAGAATTGTCTTGCCATTTCTGCCCCATTCCTGTGAGTCTCCACCAGGAGGTGCCTCAGACTGTGGCGGGCTTTCTGGTCTCAGTTGGACATTTACCCACGAGGGGGCGGGTGACTTAGGGTGTTTGATTTGGAAACTTTATTCCTTCCCTTCTCTTTGTTGCACACTCATTGCATTAAAGTTCCTTTCCATTAAAGGTCTTACACAGTAGAGTATGTTTTGTCTTGATGTAGCGGATGGCAGAACCTATTTAAAAAGGGCAGGTTTGGGGGTTCTGGGGTGCTCCTCACCCTGCCCTATACCAATATAAAACATCAAATCCTGGAAAACATTTGCAGACCTCTTCAGGATTTGGCACTGGTCTTCCTTGCCCCATGATTCCCTCATAGAAAAGAGTCCAAAGTTCAGTACCCTTCCCACTCACTACTTCCAGGTCCCAACTTCCTGCAGATTGTCCCTGATCCCTAAATCCTTAGGATCTTGATATTAGGGTCTTGAATGTTTGTTTCAAGACCCTCAACACAAAATTAGTATTCTATCTCCATGAGACCAGGGCTTTTATAGGATTTGTTTACTATGCTATCTCAATTCCTAGTACTCAGCACACAGGTGCTCATTATTTGTTACTGGTAGTTACTCACTAAGGAGTTACTTATGTTTTAAAACATAAGGAGTTAATTACTGTTTTAAAAAGCTGTATAATGGTTCACATTGTTTTTAGTAACTCCTGTAACTTTCCATTGGAGTGTTCTAAATGCAATAATTTTGTGCCTATCACTCATTCTCACTGTCTTGACTAACTTGCCTTTTGTAAATGGGCAGTAAGATGTAGGGGAGAGAATGGTTTTTGTTTTATTTTTCTTACATTTCTAATGTAAATGTATACATTTACCATGTAAGTTTGTAATGTAAATCATCCAGCCATCATTCCACATTTGTTTAGCACATTCTATGTGCCAAAGGCTGAATGCTAAGAACACAGTAAGTGAATAGAACAGACATAGTGTTGTTTTTTTTTTAAACATTTGCATCCTAGCTTGTGTACAGTATGAGGGAAAGTCAGTAAATAAACCCCAAAACTTATAGAGAACATCAGACTGTAGTTGTCGAGTCACTCAGGGTGTTGCAAAAATAAATTCTACTTTTTACCCAGGCAGAGGAAAAACAAACGTACTTCAGGAATGGTGAGCTCAAGAAAAGCTTTATTACTCATGCATGAGGTCCCAGACCTGGGGGCCCCATAAGGTCTGAGCACCTGTTTAAAGACCAAGGGTTCTTTTTATACACAACTGTCTCCATGTCTGCTAAATTGATAGCATCATTTTTCAGAAGGCACAACCTTTTGCAGGAAAGTCCCCAGACAAGGTGGTGGGGGTCGAGACAAGGGGGGAAAGATGCAGGCATTCGGGGATGGTTGGAGAGACAGACCACCTTGACCAGCTGCCCCACCTTGTAGATAAGAGCGCTGAGGCCCTGGCCATGAATCTTGCAAGGGAAGGAGCTGCAAGTAAGCAAACTTGTTGATTATGCCTGCATGGGAGTGTTCATTGCACCTAGGCTGGAAGTTCTGCTGGAATCTTTATTACATTCATTGCTCAATAATATATTTTCGCTTCTAGGGGAGTATTGGGAGGAGGGTAATTTTCTACTTAGGAGGACAGGGAAAATATGAGTAAATAAATTGAGTAAGGACTCACAGGTGACCAGTGGCAAGCTGAATAGATTAAACAAGTACATTAACTCCTCTAAGCCTACCTCTGAGCTGCAAAAGGACACTAATACTACAAATCTCACTAATTTCCTATGAGAAAAGCGCTCAGCAGGGATCCTAACCTAAAATAAAACCAGCTCACGCCGGGGAAACCAGCTCTGGGAACGCCCACCCGCTCCCAACACTCGCACCGCCCACTCTGGCTGGAACGTAACCGATGATTGGTTGAATAGTCTGTCCGTCAATCCGTCAGCCGAGGGCCTAGAAGGAGCTCAGGGTGCCGGCGTATGGGCGGCTCACATTTGATGACGTTTGATGACGTATTACGTCAGGGCGGGCGGAAGTCGCCGCCGCTGTTTTGAATTTGGGCCGCCCCGGGCTTACTCGCCGGGGCCCACGGCACGCCTGGCTGCGGGCCACGCCCGGCTGGGCCCCCCAAAGTCAGCTCCTGGGCCCTGTGGGCCTGCGGCGGCGGTGGCTCCATGTCCACCCCTCCGTTGGCGGCGCCGGGCATGGCGCCCGGGCCCTTCGCCGGGCCCCAGGCGCAGCAGGCCGCCCGGGAGGTCAACACAGCATCGCTGTGCCGCATCGGCCAGGAGACGGTGCAGGACATCGTGTACCGCACCATGGAGATCTTCCAGCTCCTGAGGAACATGCAGGTGGGCCTGGGAAGGGGGGCGGGCGGGCGGCGTGCAGAAAGCGGGGTTTGGGGGAGAGGGTGACTGCTTTAATCGTTACGCTGGGCTCCTGGGCGAGCCCCAAGTGTAGGGCTGCCCCCGCTTACATTCAAAAGTGTGCCCCAAAGATGTGTCTGTCCCCAAGAGTCTGGGTTGTGATGTGAGGGTGATGTTTGCATGCAGGCACCAGACTTTCTGCAAGATGGAACCCGCATTTTCTAGATTTGACCGAGGTCTCTATTCGGCAGACTTTTCCACCTTTCCCTCTTTAGGGGACTTTAATTTTCATCCAATCTTTTGACAGCAGAAAGGCTCCAAGGAGTTGAATAATTCAGATTCTACTACCACTTACTTTAAACCTAATCTTGGCATAATTCACGTGCACTAGAAAGCGTTTATTTAAAGTTTTGTTTTAGGTATATACTTGTGAAACCGTCGTCCACAACCTGAAAATGTTTCCTCAGACCCTTTGCAATCTTTACTTTTGACCTTCCGTACTCCAAGAAGCCTTCGATTTGCCTTCTGGCTCCGTAGATTTAGTTTGCATTTTCTTGAATTTCATGTGTAGTCCTTATTGTTTGTTTCGCTCCTTCGACTCATCGTCTGTCCTTAGTTCTTTTCTGTTGCTGAATAGTGTTCCGCTGTGTGCATGTATCACAATTTGTGTATTTGTTATCTGCTTGTGGACATTTGAGTTGTTTACTCTTTGAAGCCATCCTAACTAGTGCTGCTATAAATGTTTGCCGACAAATTTTTGTGTGAGCATGTGTTTGATTTACCTTGAGTAGGGTTCCTTTTTTGTCCACACCTTCTCCTGCACTCCTGTTGGAGGTCTTCTTAATTGGTGCCATTCTCACGAGGTTAAAGCCATAATGAGATACCACCTCATGCTGGTGAGAATGGCACCTCTTGTTAGAAGAAATGATGAACCTTTTTTTATGTGTTTTGTTTGGCCTCCTGAATAACCTCTTTTGGAACACTAGATGCTGTGCTGCACCGGGCTTGTGGTTGAAACGGAGTCACAGGCCTGGCGTTGTTCTCTTCTTGTCCAGTACAGAGCTTTATCCTGGGATGCTTGTGTGTTGTTAACAGGTTCTCGAACTCTAGTTTGTTCTGGGTTCCTTTGGTTTGATTTGAGCCCTGGGGAGTGGAGGCAGGTGTTTTGGCTATTTCAACCTAGGAAACCTCGTCCACGAGGAGTTCCAGGTGTTCTGATCTGCTTCTCCCTGCTTATTCAGGCTCCACCTGTTCTATATTGAGAGCCCGAGACTCAAGCAGGCATTCCTCACTCTGCTCCCCCACCCCTGCAGCTCTCAACAGTGCACCCTCTGTCCTGTGTGCCAACTCACACACCCCTTATCCAAAGCAGTGCCAGGTCTCAGGAGTCCCCTATGTTGATGTGTGCCCAAGTCAACAGCCATAGGGGGCTCTGCACAGCAGTCACCCCTCCCTCCTGTGATTTGTAGTGCCTGGTTAACACTTAACAGTGGAGTTCACGTAAAGCTTTTCCTCTGCCCTTCTACCAGACCTTTGCTTCTAAAGTGTCTCTGGTTGTCCAGTTTTCTCTTGGTTTTTTAGCTTTGTTTTACTGCAATTTAGTTGTGGGTGCCTGGGGCCAGCACAGTCTCCACCCTGCCCCCAAAATTATCTTTGTCAGGCAAAAAGAGGCATAACCGCAAAGTGAGACAAACTTTATTCACTGTCAGGGGCTGCATTTCAGGAAACACAATACCAATGTGTTGTTGGAGTGCTCCCAGATCCCCCTTCTCACAGGTCCGTATAAAAGGGCAGAAAGAAAGGGAGATGACAGAATGTGTTTTGAAAGAATAGGGTTGGTAACTTATTTGACTGTACATGATTAATTGCCATGCAAGTAACCTTTAAGCAGAAAGCTTGTAGTTGGTGATCAGCAGTATGTTCCTGGTTTTACTGTCCACTTAAGTTCCTGCAGCATGAAGACAGGTGCAACGTATGTGTGTGACACTTTTCTAGTGGTTTCCTGAGGATGTTTTAAATGCCCTTCATGTCAAATGACTCCATTTAGAGAATAGGTGTCACATTTTCCCCTTTATATCAAAAATTTCTTAGGGAATGCATTGGTGATTTAAAAAAAAAATTTAATTTGGTATCATTTGCCCCTCCAGGTTGGTGTTGTCCTATCCCAGGTTGCCTATCTCATGAAGGGAGGAAACGGGATAGGAAAGTGTAAATTATGCTTGTGGTTTAAGGCCCATTTGAGCAACGAGCAAGGGTCAGGGACTAATTCAGTGTCAAGTTATTATATGTTGTTAGTTCCACTTGTTGGGTGCTGATTATTTTCATGGAAATTATGATATGGATTAAAACAAATATGAGATAATTTGAACACAATGTAAACAATACAGATTGATATTAGTGATAGAATTTGTAGACAAGAGTGAGGAATGGCTTCTGTTCCTGATGGAAACTGAGAATATCAAAAAACTTAAAATTCAGGGCCTCCCTGGTGGCGCAAGGGGTTAAGACTCAACCTATGAAGCTCACCGCAGCCACTGCAGCATGATTTCGATCCCTGGTCAGGGAGCTACCCCACATGGTGCCGCAGACCTCTCCTGACTCACCCGCTGCTCCCCTTCAGCAGTGTATTTCAGTCAATCTGCCTGTTCTGTTCCCCACTCTGTCTCTCGTGAATCCTCTCTCACTCCGCAACTCCTGCCTACACCCCGGTTCTTGTATGTATAAGTAAATAAATCTTTTAAAAAATAAACCTTAAAATTCAGTGAATTTGTACAAGAGACAATTTTCAGTGATTTAGTCAAGTTAAAAGTTATAGTCATTTCCAGCTCCACTTGCTGAGAGGAATTTATCCACTTGGAGCAAGATATATTAGCAGCGGTGCACATCCAGCCTTGGGACGCAAACAAGCACTGCTCTGTGGTTATCAAGGATTTCTGGATAAAGAGTCATTAAGGGCTGGATTTTGAGCTCAACTAACTGCCCATGGAGTTAGCTATAGCTTTCACTAACAATTTTAGTTGTTTCTTATCACGTTCTCACTTAGCTTTTGTTACATCAAGTTAGGAAAACATGACACTTAGGAATCACACCTCTTCTGAAGGATTATATCCTGCAAGGGTGGTCACAATCCTGAGTGTCCACAACTATTGTCCTCATATTTAGAAGGATTCTCGTCTGGATGGTCATGTATTATTGCTAAGGCTTGCTTTGGTCCATAAAGGATGTTGGGGTCTTCAGAAGCTTTACTAATTGCGGATTGTGAGGATTTTAAGAGGGGAAGTTGGACGTCTAAAAGACACTGACCAGCATCTCCAGCTATTGAGACTGGCAGATGGCCAGGTTACTCATACAGGCACAAACAATGGCATCCTAAGGAAGCACAAAGTGCCCCTTTTAGAGTCCGGCCGTCCGGATCTGTTTAGAGGTGTGGATGTCAGAAGTCAGAGTAGGAAAAAACCAAACCTCTATCATGTGTGAGCACACAGGAAGATTCTCTCTACATCAGAATTCAGTTGAAAGGGTTCTTTTTTTTACAGAGGGGAGTTTTGCAGCCAGAAGGGTGCATAGAAGGGCAAGATGAGAAAATAAAACCCTGACAGTTTAGAAAGAGGCTGGCAATTCCTGGATAACAAGTATATGAACAGAAGTCTTCTCAGTTATTTGGTGGGGGTCAGGGTAAAACAAGAAGGACTTCCTTTTCCAGGAGGTAGCCCTATGTGGTAGGTTAGATCAGATGGCGCTGTCTGGTTACAGTGAAATTTGAAAGAGCAATGAAGTTGGAAATGGGTATAACAAAGGATTGCTGGATAAAGAGTCATTACAGGCTGGATTTTAAGCTCAACTAATACTGCCCATGGAGTTAGCAATAGTTTTCACTAACAATTTTAGTTAGGTTTCTTATCATACTCCTCACTTAGCTTTTGTTACATCAAGTCAGGAAAACATGTCACTTAGGAATCACACCTCTTCTGAAGGATTATATCCTGCAAGGGTGGTCACAATCCTGAGTGAATTTGAACTTCCAAATCCATGGAGGATTGGTCATGACTGAACCGTTCCCCGGAGAGAGTACCTGCTTCTACCAAGTTTGCTAAATAATGCTGTGGGGAAGCTGGAGATAGCTATACATAGATCTTCAAATTAGTATTTTTATGTTTTCCAGGTTAATTACTTAGAGGTGGGATAGGTAGAGCAGATGGCATTTCTAGTTTTGTTTTTTTGAGGACTCTGCATATGCTTTCCAGTGCCTGCACCAGATTACATCCCCACCAGCAGTACAATGATTCCTTTCTCTCCACACGCTTACCAATACTTGTTTCTCTCTCTTTTTTTTTTTTTTTTGGTTGATTTTAATAATGGCTATTTTCTATCATAGTTTTGACTTGCATTTCCTATTGGCTCTGTCTTCTTTGGAGAAAGATCTATTCAGATCATCTGCCTATTTTTTAGTCAGGTTGCTTGTTGAGTTTTGAGTTCTTTATATAGTTTGGATGTATGCCCCTTGTCAGATATATAATTTGCAGATCACTTCTATTTCATGGGGATGACTTTTCTTTTTGATGATAATTTCTTCAGCTGTGAAGAAGCTTTTTAGTTTAATATAGTCCCTTTTCTTTATTTTTGCTTTTGTCTCACCTGTTTTCTGTTACATGTTTTATGGTTTCAGGTCTTACATGACGTCTTCAAGCCATTTTGATTAATTTTGTGTACGATGTTAGTACACAGTACTTTCACTCATTTGCATGTGGCTGTCTAGCTTTCCCAATACTATCTATGGCAGAGTCTTGCCTTGCTTCATTGCATTTTCTTGGCTCTTTGTCATAAATTAATTGTCCATCTATATGCGAGTTTATTTCTTGGCTCTCAGTTCTGGTCTGTTAATCTGTTTATCTGTTTTTATTCCAATCTAATGCTGTTTTGATTACTATTGCTTAAGGTACAGTTTGAAGTTAGCATGAAACTCCATTTTGGTTCTTTTTTTCTCT